AAGGAGAGGGAAGTGGACGTGATTGAGATGGGAAAAATAGATGAGACGTACAGGGAGATGTTTGAGGCATGGAATAGAGAGGAAAGGACGGTAGCTGTACTGGGGCATAGGAGGTGGGTTGAAAAGGCGGGAAGGGATATCGTAAGGATAGACAGACTTGGGAGGACATTTTTTAGCCACCTTTGGCAAAGGGGGAAGGAACGATTGGCCATCGGTGATCGGTCTTGTGGGAACAATGCTCCGTCCTCTCGAGGACGCGAGGTCAATGGTCAAACCGTTAAGGCATGCAAAACATAAGAGTACGCCCCCCCCCCCTCGGTGTTTGCCATCGGGGTTGGGTTTTCGTCGCCTGGCAACGACGTTGTAAAACAAGCCAATTCACTTCGTGAACTCGGCAACCAGGTTACCGTTGTGTTTTTTACCTCTGTTTTATTTTTTGGCGGCAACCATAATGGTGGTCGAGTAGATCATGTTGTGCGGGGTCTAGAACCCTCACTCCGCGCAAGGGGGATGATCGCACTACGTTGTGTGAAAGTGGTCAAGCACCCTCGGGGCAGCTACACAGTGCTTATAACTATCTCTGGAAGTGAAAGCACCAGAAAATAAATTAAGTCATACGCAGNTTTTACCTCTGTTTTATTTTTTGGCGGCAACCATAATGGTGGTCGAGTAGATCATGTTGTGCGGGGTGGAGAACCCTCACTCCGCGCAAGGGGGATGATCGCACCACGTTGTGTTAAAATGGTCAAGCACCCTCGAGGCAGTTACACAGTGCTTACAACTGTCTCAGGAAGTGAAAGCACCAGAAAATAAATTAAGTCATACGCAGCTGTCATCCGTACGCAAGGAAGTAAGCACAAGATGCCGAAAACCCTTAGCAGGATGCAGCGCACCCTTCATGCGACTCGCCGAATATCTCACGGCGCTTCGCGCTTGGTGATGTGAGAGCCTGGTCCGGTGAGAACCCGGCGTGCTCCGTCCCGGCTTTGTAGGGATGCGAGGTCAATGGTCTAACGACTAGGGCATGCACGACTATGAGTACACCCCCCTTCACCCCCCCCCCGGTCAACTGCCAGACAAAACAATTGTGCTATGCACAAGGCACCACTTACTGCTGTCTTCTCAAGTGTCATGTCTCCATTGGCTTTGATACTTGGCAGGTGTGGACGGAAACGACGGCAGTAGCAGTGCACCAGAGCACAGAGAAGTAGTACCGTCAGCAGCGTCAGCAGCACCGGGGGTGTCCTTGGAAGGCGGGTGTCCTTACGTAATCGACACGGCAGAGGAGGCCATTTCCCGGATCAAGGACAAGAGCCTCCCGGGCAACGTCGTGAAGGTCGAGCACTTGACCTTCTGCCGCACGGGGAACCACTTTAGCAGCTTCTTCCGCAACCTCGCCCTGGGCTACTGCTGCAAGTCTAAGGTGGTAAGTGGACAAAGGAAACGCATTGAGCGGTCGCGCTACTTACTGCTTTCGTAATCTTGCGAGACTTGGGACTGGGGGGGCAATCGTGCGAGACTTCGGAATGGGGGGAATGCTCCGGGAGTATTGAAGGCCGCACAGACCTTTATTTTCGTCCTGTTTTACTCCCTTCTATCTTTCGTGGTGCCTGCCTTCAATTTTGTCTCGAGAAGGATTCTTCCGTTCCTTTCCCTCGTCGACCACGAAGAAAACAACTGTCGTGTACACAGGGATAAGTCGGTACGCATCATCCCGCGTGCGAACATCGCGCCAGTAAATGATTGGTCGGCGCCCGAAAGAACAGTGTGAACCCGCTCTCTTTTACTCTATCTCGCTCCGGGTGCGTTTACCCCCAGGTGTGGCTGCCTCCAAAGGACGACGTTCTCGCGCCCGGAGTGTTTAACCAGGGAACCCCAGGGCCGCGCTGGTTCGACTTCTCGAGCGCGCCCGACGTGGACGGCTTCGATTCCAGCGCGTGTTCCGCGGACATCACTTGGGCGGGGCAGAGAGCGTTTCACATGCACCAACGTGAGCAGCGAGAGGGATCACGTGGTGCTTTTCGTCTGATCCTTTTTGTGGCTGTGCGTCTTTGTGACGTTCTACCGGCGCCGCGTGTGACCGTGTGTGGTGTGGTTCTTCCAACGCTGATGATCCTCTGGAGGAGAGTTGTGGGCGCAGCAAAGTGAAGTTTTGGAGGAAAGGAGTATGAGATCGCTGTTTATTCTATGAGCACTGGCCAAAATCAGGTGTACCTGATCCGAACACGGCCAACAAACGTTATTTACGCCGCTAGCAGCGCCCTCCTGGCGCCATCTGATCGGCGGACGCCCGCTCCTACCCCATTCCGCCGGGTGCACCCGATCTTGGCTAATCACCCTCCGGATACCCGAGGTTACTTTCCCCTACCCGAAAATGTCTGAGCTCCTCGACCTACAGACCACGCTCATGAACACATGCCCTGCACTCGAATTCCGATGCTTCCGACGGCGGGGGCGGAGGTGGACACACCGCTGGCGGCGGAACTCTCTCGTTTTTCGTTTCGGAGAGAGAGGGCCAAGCGGGTGGACAAATACCTGCAGCGGAGCCCCAACTTCAAACGAGAATTCCGCCGCCGGCGGTGGGTCCACCTCCGCCCCCGCCGCCGGAAGCATCAGAATTTCTGTGCGGGGCGTTGCTGACGACATGTGTTCGTGAGGGTGGTCTGAATCTAGTGGGCTGTTGGTCGAAGATTCCCAGCCATTTTCGGGTAGGGGAGAGTAAAATCGGGTGTACCGCTCCGGAGGGTGAGTAGCCAAGATCGGGTGCACCCGGCGGGAATAGGGTCAGGGCCGGGTAGGGGCGGACGTCGGCCAATCAGATGGCGCCAGGACGGCGCTGCCGGCTGCGTAAAATAGTGGTACCCGATGTATGGCCGTGTTCGGATCGAGTGTATCAGATGTGCGCCTTTTGCTCTTGTTTTTTCTGCTTGCACTCAACGTTTTCGAGCGAACGGCGGCCTGTCTGACACACGCACGACCTCCCGTGTACAATTTCAATTTTCCCACACGGAAAATCCCCCGAAAACAACAATTAACAGTTGACTCCCCAGAGCACGAGTTCCACACTCCCGGCCTCAAGGAGTGCATCGCACGCGCGCCCCGGCTTCTCGCATGCGAGGCCGCGTACTACTTCCCGAAGGACGTGGACCTCTGCCACGCCACCGCCGCCGCTGCCGCCCCTTCGAGCGAGCACGACGGGCAATCGTCCTACCAAGGCGGTTGGCCAGACGACCCGGAGCGGCGACGAAGAACCCGAAGGTGGGGCGGCGGCGACGGCGATGAGAGCAAAGGGAAGGACGGAGCGGGAGCGGCAACGACGGGCGGGGAAGGGGCTGCTGCAGGCGGCGGGGGCCAGCAAACACAGGGGGATAACGAGGAGGGCGTTGAGGATGAGGAGATGCGGCCGGCAGGAGGGGAGGAGCGGGAGCAGGGGGGAGGAGGAGGAGGAGGAGGAGGAGGAGGAGGAGGAGACGGCAACCTCGTGCTCCACGTGCGCTCCGGAGATATCTTTTCCGATAAAGTCTTGGCGTACTACGGCCAGGTGATGATGCTAATAGTCTCCCTGCGGCGTACGCGATGGGGCACGCAGCGGCATTTGCTCCTCAGGTAGCGAACACCCTCCAGTTGTCCCCCTTTGAACGCTAGTCGTAGGCGAAGTACATGACCGGGTGCAGCTTGGCACGCCCTTGGCTCTGTGCTTCGTGGAATCAGCGACTGGCTCCCGGGGTAGTATGATTCACCTCACGAAGCTTCTGTGATCCGCCGCAAGTTACCCTCCATCCGTTTTTTTCCGATGCCACGTGTACTGAAAAGACTTCCCCGCTCCTTTTCGCTCCCCCCTTAGGTTACGTGCAAACTCTTGAGGAAAATAACAGCAAACCCCGAGCGGTAAAAGCGGACTTATATGCCACTGCTGCCTCTCTCGTTCTCAAGCGTCCACGCTCTTCAACTTTAGCGGCATGTTGTGCTCCTTCTCCCACGCCATTTGCCGCGATCGTCGATGCGACCAACAGCCTCCGCTGCAGTTCTACCTGCAAGTGATCCAGCACGCCGACTGGGATAGCGTCGACATCGTCACCAACTCACAAGAGCACGACGGCCTGAACCCCGTGATCCCAGCCCTGCAGGCCATGGTTGACGCGGGGGATCTCCCGGACTCCGTGCACGTTCATACGGTGAGGGGTAAAGGGCTGATTTCGAGAACACCCGCCTCTGGCTCATCTAGTCACGTAGAGGATATCGGCTGGCTGAGAGCTGGGGGCAACACGTGCCGTAAAGGTTGGCACTTCTTCAACGGCCGGTTGAGGTCTCACTATCTCCGCACGCAGGGTAGTGGTTGAAAACGATATTTCATGTACCTGTCTGGCAAGCGTTATCAACAGCGAGACGAGGAATCATTGTAAAATGATCAAGAACTGACAGGGGTCGTGCACAGAAGTACAGACTTCTGTGTGCAGCGCGAGGGTAACAAGCGCGTATCGCAGGCTTCGTGCTGATCGTGGATGGGTTAACCCTCAGATATCCATCCTTACCGCGGTCGGAACAACGCGTTCGGGTTCCAAAGCTTGGTGTAGCAGCAAGGATGTTTGCATAGTCCCTTACCAAAAAAAGGGAAGCACGACAACCCGACTACGGGCGGTTTTGAGCGTTTCGAGCACAGAGATGCAGCAAGAAAACTAAACTAAAGGAAACCATTTCCTGCTCAACATTTCGAACAGATGACATGCCTGAGCGCGAGGCGACTTCGATAGTCTCGGGCTACACACCACCCGACCAAAACCTTTGTCTATGGTTATTATCGACACAACCAATGCAAAATCTGCGCTACTTTCTAATGCTTCGATTATCGCCACCGCCACTAAATTTGCCGCCGGCTACCAGAACCGTACCATGGAAGAGGACCTGCTTAGCATGTTCTGTGCGGACGGGCTAGCGCTGGCAAGGTCAACCCTGGTCTCTCTCACGGGGTTCCACTCGAAAGCCAAGCGAGTTTATGGCCCCCACCAGTGCAACGCCCAGTTCAAGCAGCTCGCCCTTATACGCCCAGAAGTCCAGGTGTGTGTTTATGAGTGTGTGTGTGTGCTTAGTGTTTCTTGGGAGTTGCATCTACAGCGACAACCGGGTGGCCATTGAGCAGACGAGAGTTGTTTGGTTTGACTGTAACGGGAGAAAATAAGTCACAACGCGCTATGTTTTGTCATCGGGCTCCAACGCGACGCCTTCTGGTTACACCTCATCCTCGGGCGGATTTTTTTTTTTTTTCCATGTCTGTCGTTGGTGGTTGCTACTATTCGTTTACTTGGTCTACCACCCCCCTCCTCTCACTGGCCTGTGCACCACTTCCCCCCCCCCCCCCCCCCC